ACTTATTGGTGTAGTTCAAGACACAAAGGACGTGCAGGTGGATGATGAACTGAAAACTAAAAGGTCTAGAGGTAAGTCATGTTCTTCTGTTCAAGAGACTGATGAATCCAAGTCTAAAAAAGCTAAAACTTTAACCTCTAATGTTTGAAAGTATTTTACTAGAATTGACGTTAATGGGAAACTTAAAGCAAGGTGTAATGGTTGTCAAACTTTACTAGCATCTGGTGGGGCTAATGGCACTTCATATTAAAATAGGCATGCTAGATCTTGTAAAATTTTGGACAAATTTCATGATATTAGAGTGATGTTATTGGATAAAGAAAGCAATATAAGGTGTCAAAAAATTAATAATATGTGAATTCAAATGATTATAACTATGGCCATAATTGAACATGATCTTTCTTATTCCTTTGTTGAATACAGGTGGATCAAAGAACTACTTTTGATATTGAATCCTCATGTTAGGCTCTTTACTAGAAAAACTGTTATTGCTGATGTTATGAAATTCTTTCTTCGACAAAAAGAAAATTTGAAACAAAAGTTGAAGAGAAGTAATAGTAAAATTTGTTTGACATCTAATTGTTAGACTTCTGTGACTTTTGAAGGGTATATTTGTTTAATAGCTCATTTTGTGGATGAAAGGTAAAAATTATGTAGTAAAATACTTTCATTTTGTAAAATGGAACCTTCACATTCTAGGATAGAGCTAGCTAGAAAAGTACATGAATGTTTGACTGATTGAGGGATTGAGAACAAAATATTCTCCATTACTTTAGATAATGCATCTACAAATGATAATATGCAGGATATATTGAAAGAGAGGTTAAGTTTTTAAGATGATTTCAAATTAGTGAGTAATGGAGAATTTTTCTATGTGAGCTGTTATGCTCATATCTTAAACTTGATAGTTCAGGAGGGTTTGAAAGTTACAAGTTTTGCTTTGTATAAGATTAGAGAAAGTATTAAATTTGTAAAAGCATCAAAGGCAAGGTCAATTCTTTTTAAACAATGTGTTGAGCAAGTTGGTAGCATTGACACCTTAATGGGCTTGCGACTAGATGTGCCCACTAGATGGAATTCCACTTACACAATGCTTGAATTGGAATTAAATATCATCGTGCTTTTGTACACATAGCTATCAATGATACAAATTACAAGTTTGGTCTCACAAATGATTAATGGGCTAGAGCAGATGCAATGTGCAGCTTTTTGAGGCCATTTGAGAAGATTACAAGGTTGATTTCTGGGTCATCATATCCTACATCAAACTCTTATTTTATGCAAATTTCCAAAATTGAGATGTTGCTTGATGCAAATATGAAGAGCCCTGATCCTGTGATTCAAGAGATGGCTAGGAAAATGAAACAGAAGTTTGACAAGTATTAGAATGAGTACAGTGTCATTCTTACACTTCCAGTAGTTTTTGATTTAAGATGAAAGTTTAATATAATACAATATTGCTATACGAAGATTAACCCTATCACTTGCCATAAAAAGGTTGCTAATATTAAGAGCAAGTTAATATTCATGTTTAATGAATATTCAAGTATGAGGATATCTACCAATCTTGGAGTTGATGGGGCTACAAGTGGATCAAGTTATAAAGCTTCAACAGTCACTACTCACCATTCTTCCTTGACTTCAAGTGTTTCAACATCAACCTCTTTTGATGATGCCTTTGATGTAAGTTTTAAATTCCTTGTCTTTTTAAATTCTTTCAAATTTTTCATTAATCTAGTATTTCTTTGATATTTTTTTAATCCTTTATAAATACGTGATGTAGGATTATCAAGATATTTATGCAATTATGGACCATTCTTCCTTGGATAAGTCTGAACTTGAGAATTATTTAGAGGAACCAATATTGAAGCTTGATAGTTGGAAAGAATTGGATGTCTTAAACTGGAGGAAAAATAATCAACATCGATATCCACTTCTTTCAAGGATGGCGGCCGATATTCTTAGCATTTCGATCACTACAGTAGCTAGTGAGTCGGCTTTTAGCATCGGTTCACACGTTTTAATAAAGTATCGGAGTTCCATTCTTCCAGCTAATGTTCAGGCTATCATTTGCATTCGTAATTGGTTACATGGTTTTGTGTACAATGGTAATTTTAATTTATATTTATTTTATTTTTTACCATGCAAATTGCAAACAACATGAGAAATAATAACTATAATTGTGTGAGTATTTTTGTTTATTATTTGTTGTAGATAATGAAGGTGAAGAAGAAGAAGAAGAAAATCTTGATATTTTTGCCTTTGATGAGCCAGCTATAAGTGGATTACAATTGAATTTTGTTGAACTTAATGATAGTGAAGAAGAAAAAGATAATGATGATGCTATCAATGTTTGAGTTATTGAGTGTATTTATTTAAAGATTTTCATGAGACTATAGTTCTAGGTAGTGGATACTGGATAGATTCAGCTCATCTTGGCTTCATTGCATGCTATCTTTTCATTTAGATTGTGTTTCTAAGATCTAGCTCATTTAGATGTTTTGTTTCTTTAGATATTGCTACTTGCTGAGCTTATTACTACTTGTTTGTTATGGTTAGTTTGATTGTTTATTGCTTATTAGCTTATGTCATAAAGGAATGATTGAACCAATTTTAATTTGAAAAAAAAATTTAAAAAAAAGGTAAAAGAGCTCAAAGCTTGTAGGGCCGACCCTAAGCCTGTTATGCTTAGAGCCAAGCTTTAAGATTGAGCAACTCAAAAAAAACTTAGACTTAAACAAGCTGTCCCTTTTAAGCTTGAGCTCTTCAAAGGCTAGCCCTATAAGGTCGGGCCAGCCCGTTTTTCTAGCTTTAGTAAATATTAGTAAATTGATCAAAAAAAGTTTGCTTAAGTGACAAATTCACTTGATCTTTTGACAAGTAGATATTGGGATATAATCGTTTGACAAGTTAGGTTTGCATCCCAACCTGGATTGAGATGCTAATAGCTATACAATTCTTGTTTGGGTAAAAAAAAAAAAAAAGGTGGTGAATGAGTGATGGGGAGTGAACGAGCATTTTGAGCGAAGCTAAATATATTTACAATTTGGTCCTCCGGTCATGCAGTTTAATTTTATATTGTCTTGGTCCTTTCAAAATACTCTCAGCAATCCTGGAATGCAATTTTTTCTTGTTTTAAATGATAATTTGGTTTTAATGTTTGAGTTAATGAATTCAAATGGACAAAATTATTTTCTCTCTTGTTTTACAATTTGAATTTTAAAATTTAAAATGAATTATTTCTTCCATCATATTAAAATTATAGGATTAAAAAACAAAAATGTTCTGAAATTTTTTCGATGTGCCTGATATCTTAATTTGTTTTTTCAAGTAATATTACCTTAAATCATGTGCTTCTTTCGCTTTTCTTCTTCCTCTTCTTCATCTCCTTCCTGCGTCGAACCCAACCCAAATCTGAATGAATCAAAGCGTTCTTGGGCAAGCAACCATGGCCAAAACGCAAAGACAACGCAACACCACATAAGTTCGGATTCTGTTCGTACTTTCCGCAATCCTCTGTGGGGTTTTCAATAATTAAGAGGAATGACGAGGATTCGGCGTCTTTGGAAGAGCTTGACACTGTCAGGGTCAGAGCCGTTGGGTATAAGAAAACTGTTGAGCAAGAAGATGGGTCTGTTTCTTGGCAATGGTATGGGTTCTTGGAGAATAAGATTTATGATTCATCTCGTTCATCAGACACTGCCCAATCGCGATTCAGAACCAGATCCATCATATCTTTCGTTCTCCTCCTTAAAAAGGAAGCATTTGACTGCCAAAAACAGTTCAGATTCTCTCTGTGATTTGAATGATTGTGAGGCTTGAGGATTTATTACTTTGCGCGACTCAAATCTCCACTTGAAGATTCATTTTGTTGCTTGGAATTTGAAATAAATTTCTTGGTTTTTTTTTCCTCTTTGGCTTTGTTTGAGTTGTCCAGACTGTTGGTGTTCTATTGTAATTTTCATTTTTGTTTGTATTTTTTTTCCATTTCTGGATGTCGGTGCTAAAAATAGACGGCAAAAAAGGAAACAAGTTTTTTTTTTAGATTTAAATCCACTATCTTTTTTTTTTTTTCAGATTTTCCCGTTCATCCCATCCTTTTCTTTTTAAGCTCAACTGCACTGTTTGAATGGGAGGAAAGAAAATATGAAAAAAAAAATAAGAGAGAAAATAAAATCTCTCATGTTTGGATGAGGAAGAAAAGGCCAGGGAGAAAAAAATTGAAAAGAAAATGAAGTGTTAGACCGAAATGTTGGACTCATTATGTTTTCTCTTCTTACGAAGGGATTTTGAGATTTTGAGAGTAAAATAATTTTTTCACTGTCTACCCTCCCATCTGCCTCTTAGCTGTTTTTTTTTGCTTGACCATATAATTTGACCAGGCAGCGGCCTAGTCTTTAGCAGCTTCGACCTCAATGAAGAAGATAATGATGATGAGCTATATGGTGAGTTTGTTTATCTAGATTACATTTTCATTTTGTTTACCTAAATACTATGATAATATATATTTTTATGTTATTGTATTTAATTTTAAAAAGTGCCCACTTTTAATTTTGAGAATATAAAAATGACATATTTTTTATTAAATTATTTGATTTTAAAATATAATAATATGAAAATAATTTTTTAAATATAATTTCTACTTCTATTTTTTTAAAAAAAAGATAATTAAACATGATATATATATACATATATATACTAAGGGCATTATAAATATTAGTATATCTATTCATTTTCTTTTCTCGTTATTTTCTTTTATTTATTCAAATAGGAGGAGTAATAGTATTTTCTTTTTTTAATTTTTTTTTTCTCTTCATTTTTTTTCTTTTATTTTTTTTAACTCTCAACTTTTCTTCCCTTGATGTTGTTGTGTAAAGAATGAAGGTCAATACATAGATCGAGTGGTTGTTACTGCAGGGTTGGATGAGTGTGAAAGCATTGGTCTGAGTGCAGCAAGGTTGAGGGGAATGAGAAGAAGTTCGTAGAGCAGAGAACTAAGCATTGTGGATGCTGATCAAGACTAATGGCGGAAGATTTCAAATGCACACGGTAGCCAACTAGCCATCAAAGTCAAAATAACAGTGAATCGACAGTCAACATTAACAGGAAGGTGAAATTATACTCCTTTTAAAATAGGACGATATTACTCTAAAAATAATTTAGAATATTAAGCAACAAATTCCAAAATGTTTATACACGTCTTATTTTGTTAAAGACTTTTCTACTAGAGTCCCGACAAGGCCACAACTAATCATCCGTTGCTCAATTATATACATATATTCTACACTCCGAGAAGGTCACAACGGCCTTATCTATATATATAATGTGTGTGTGTATAATAGCAGTTTTACTGTTCAATCTTCTGCTTTCACAGATACAGCAAAGCCTTCGCGGGGCTCAAGGAAATATCAGCCTCATTCTCTTTCTTATCTCATTCTGAAAAGCTGTGAAGGAAAAAGCAATAATGGCTTCTGAGACTGAAGGTTTTGCAAAGAGGAAAGTGAAGGCAGCTGGATCATCCAAGTCAAACGTCACTCTTAGCAAAGCAGCTTGGACATCTGAAGAGGATAGGAAACTAGCCGAGGTTACTGCAATTCATGGGGCAAAAAGGTGGAAGTCCATTGCAGTCAAAGCAGGTATTAGCTCAATCAATCTTGGATGCTCCAATTTGATTTGTTAATAACTTGCTGGTAACATGGATCTAAATCCAAAGGACTCTACTTGTCTCGAGCCAGGTGAAGTTTTATATGCCTTTTAGTAAAAAGTTGATGAAACAGACAATAGTGATGAAGAAGGGCTTTGCTTTTACGTAGGTCTCAATCGTTGCGGTAAGAGTTGTAGGTTAAGGTGGATGAACTATCTCAGACCCAATATCAAACGGGGAAACATATCAGACGAAGAAGAGGATTTGATAATTCGGCTTCACAAACTCCTTGGAAATAGGTCAGTGTTGTGTATGTTATCATGTTATATAATATATAGGTGAGTCATGGATTATGCAACCTACTTATATTGATTTTTACAAAGTATGGACCCCCACTGGTTTTTAAAATATTAGTAGAATTAGCTTCACTTATTTTAAGTTAAACTGTACATAACTCTTATCAACCTTGAGTTATGTAAACATATCTAGGCACATTTTTCAATTTCCATGCATTGCATGAAGTTGCTGCCCATGTTTTGTGAATATGAAACGGCCGGAACATGGGAGAAGACTGAAGAGACATTGTCAAGCAATTAAAAGGCAAGGAACACACAATTCTTTGATGTCTAGCTAAAACTTGATTAGTAAGTCATCCTAAATTTTAAAATTTGTGTATATAATCGTTGCTATTGTTAAGGCTGCTTATTTAAATAACCTAAGGTTTAAGATGTTATTTGGCCCAAAAAAGAGAAAGGTTTAAAGGAATATATTGTCACTATTGGACCTCACAATCAAAGAAATGACAGGCTAATAATCAACAGTTGGGAAATTCTTTGCAAGGTTCTTGTTATAGTTTTGCAACTGAAGTCTTGAAATTTGCGAAAGCCTTTAACGTAACATGGCATGGTATATATATTTAGCCTATACTCAATTTCTTTATACATTTGAATATAACAACAGCTTTTTGTGAGAAGGATTATTAATGAAATGATATATGAGATAGCTGATAACTATGGTAGGTGGGCTTTGATCGCCGGGAGACTTCCTGGTCGAACAGATAACGAGATTAAGAACTATTGGAATTCTCATTTGAGCAAGAAGATAAAGCAGATGGAGAAGCACTCAAGTGAGAGGTCAACCAGATATGAGAACCAAAAGGTGGTGGATGATCACAAGATTCCTGAAGAAGCTGAGCCAATGAGAGAAAAGATTTCCCCTGAGGAAGCTAATGAAGAGTCATCATCAAAACCCAAATTTGATGCAGATGGGGTCTTCAATTTCTCCGAAGAAGGTCTCTCGAATCTGGAATGGGTTAGCCAATTTCTTGAACTCGATGAAACAACCACGGGACTCTTCTCACAATACTAAACTTTGCCATTAATGTTGTTTCCATGTCATAAAATGGTAGTCACTGTCAAATTCTTTATATTTAATATGTTAAATATAAATAGGTTTTAAAACTCTATATATTTCTTCTCTCATCACATTTTTCAATTATTTGTTTTTGTGGAAAAACTGAGAGTTAAGAGATTATCATTATTTTAAATTTTGTATCTATTAAAATGATTTTTTAAACAAGATAAAAATTAAAAAACTGTAAACTTGATGAATCATTTAAATTAAATCTGAATGATCAAGAGACGAAGAACTTTTAGTGCTTATTTATATGACGAGCATATTCTACCCCTCCAACATTTTTGAGTTCTGACCCGATAATTGGTGACAGTATTGTCAAGCAAATAATTTTATTTCAAAATTTAGGAAAATATAGTCGAGCTTCACTAGCACATATGGGAATAAAAATTTTCTATCAATTCAACATAAATTTACATAAGAGGGATATCAAGGATCTAATAAGCAACTGTGAGCTTTGAGTAATGACTTGCATTCACAGATCTACCAATATGTCTCTAACAATCAGGCGTCTTCATGCTTCTTCGAAATCTCCAAAATTTTGAAGTCCAAGAACAAGGGAAGGGAGCCAGCGTACATCTGTTGCTTCAAGGAAGGGAGAGTGAAGGATTCACACCTCTTTGAAGCCTTGACGTATGGAAACCTATGAGAAATTGCAAAATGTAAACAAGAACTAGGGATCTTGGTGAATAAGATCTCGACAAGTGAGGGGGAGAAGCAGCAGCTTAGGCAAAGTCGTGAGAGCTAGAAAGAGAAAGCGATCTGGGTTCATTGCTCCCTTTCTTTTCCTATATCAACGCACAGGATTTTCAAGCATAAGAAAGGGAGATTCAATAGAGAGAGGGGCTTGGGGGTATTGTGATTGTTAACCAAGATTCACAAGGAAGCAAATGAAGAGGTCCCAATATTATAAAAATCAATAACCATAAAATCTAGAAATTTAAAAAAAAAAAAAAGCTTCCACAAGATTCAAAATGCATTGTCTTGTAGCTCATGGAAGACGAGGAATGTGGCGGTGGTGTGGTGATGGGCTCTACTACTGCTGCCGCCGCCACACCACCACCACCACTATTATTATTATTATTTCTTTTTCATGTTTTTTTTTTAAAAATGGTCTGGAAGTGAATCAATTAACTATTAACATTTTTTTTTCCAATTCAGGATAACATTACATTATTTTAAAAATGTTAGGGGTAACATTATGATAGGGACGCGGAAGCAGAATCGTGCTAGTTTAGGGACAGAACCCTGAAACAACAAAAACACAAGAACAAAAAGAAAGGGACGAAATTTATGACGGAAATAAAGAAAGGTATGAAGTAAATAATAGGATAATGATCAAGGAGAAGATCCTCTAGAGCACCTGCCTCTAGGAACCTCAACCTTCGAAGATACCACAAGAGTTGATCACGCTCTTGATCACGTCTGTTTCTCACACGGGATACCACCACAAAGCACTAAGGCTCACAAGAGTTATAAACTCTAAAATGAATAATTTCATTCAACTTCTGTGTTGTTTACAATAGGGAGCATGCCTAATTTATATAGGCTCATAGAAAAATATTTCCTAAAATTAAAACCCTAATTTCCTAATACTAAAAGGAGAAATAATATAAAATAATAATAAAATATTCAGCCACATAATTTAGGAGATGTGATCCTAAAATTATGGGATTACAAAATTTAAAATTAATATTATAATTAATTCTAACCTTTGACTAGATTCAAAATAGAAAATCAAATCAATGGACCATTAAAATAGGAAATAATTTAGGAGACAATCAAGGGATCATAAAGGATTTAAAATCACGCCACCCTTGACTTTTTTACTAGGATTTCATGACTCCTTGCTTGCAAGAGGCTCAACTTGTAGTCTTCCTTGCATTAGGCTAAGGTCTGCATCTTTTGAGCTTGACTCTTCATGAGTTTGGATATTAAATACATTATACACGTATAGATGCTCTCCTTTGGGCTTGAGAGGAGTGCCCCAATGCTCTCCAAACTCTTGAACTTCTTGCACAAGACTGAACAAGGCTTGCTTCATGGCTTTGGTTCGGGCTCTTGTCATTAGACCTCCAATATGTTGTAATGAGTCTTTAGGTACATTGGATTAGAAGTATTGGGCTCCTTCTATGTCACCATGCTCATGATTACCATCCTCAGGCTTCGTTACCATTAATGCTATGTCACCCGTGCTATGGGGTCCATCACATTATATCTTTAAATATTTTATGATATTAATTATATTTTTGGAAAAAGTTTCAGAAGTAAATTTGCATATTAACCTGACCTAAAAGATAAAAAATTTAACCAAATGCATGACTGCACGTATAATTTTATTTTTATCATATATGTTTAATAAAAACGAGAAGCAACAGCGCTTTTCCATCTCCATCGGTTAAGTGTGATTAAATTTTGACGCGTGCCTCCGACGATGAAAGAGACGAATAAGGAAAAAAACCAGAACAACACTGTCCATACAGTTATGGAAGAAGTTCGACCTATAGCGAAGAGAATCCAACAGCATAAAGAGTTAAAATTAATATCCGAACGATAAGTTGTGAGATAATTTTCTGTCAGAAAAGGCCTAAAGTTTCAAGATATGATAATTTCCCCGCTTGAATTATCTCTTATCCGCTTGAATTGTCCCTCTCTTGCGGGCCATTCAGAGAGGGATAAACAGTGAAATTAAGTTTAAAACTATATATATTCACGAATTTATACCAATGGCTTTTTGTTGGGATGAGAAATCTTTAATGACACGAATACATTTCAACCACCGGATTAAATCACTAAATCGTTAGACTAGTGTCTTCACTAGTTTAACAAATTGCTTTATCTATGACTGAATCAATCCTTCATAAGAAGCAGATTTGAATTTTGATCGAGTTGCCACCTACAAGATCTAAAAGCATTCAATAGCTAATAGATGTTGTAGTTCTGCAGCTCTTACTCTTTTACGCCTTACGTTTTGACAAGACTTCCCTGGCAGTTAGTCATTGGGGGGGGGGGGGGAGTGTGTTCTCACGCAGAAAGAATTAGTCGCCGCATCAGATAAAATTCTGGTTTATTGCCAATGGCCTTGGGACCATATCACTATTTTGGTACGGAAAACGAATTCAATGATTGGTGGTTAATTTCTGCTTCCTGCATGGGAATGTCTCAGTTAACGAAGTTTTGACTAACAGACTAACTGGTTGAATCTATAATTCACGAGCACGATAATGGCTAAAGAATGAACAACTTGCATTCCAGCATGCTAAGCAGTAGATTTCCAAAAATCCAAAAATTAAAGCAAACATTATGTACTCACGAGTATGGACTCGTTTACAAATCAGTAGCCATCATTGAGAATTAGCCCCATGCCATGGAACATGCGTAGTTGACCACCAATTTGCCATCGATCCCAAAATTCTGGACAACCAGGGTAGCAACATGAGAAATCATGACTTCAAAGATGCAATATGATAATGAACAACAGGATTAGCACTCGAAAGCTACAATATCGCAGCACTGAACACTTGCCCAATGCCCATTATATGATGGGATAACAATAGCATTAGTAGCTAGTTTACAAAACAATAGACAACAAAATTAATTCTTTCTTTCTTTTTTCGTTTTTTAACTTCTTTTCACTTCGAGCACAAATGCACCTGACTTGAGAACTGACTTTGGCATGAATTAAAGTATCGGATCCCAACGTCATCCCAATTTCTTCCTAATTCCATCCATCTATCATTTAGGTATTCGCCACCTCACCCCGTCCCTGACTTCATCTATTTTCCAAGGTTGAAATGTGATGGGTTCCAGCCCACTGCTACTCCCAAAACACACAACGGAGACAGAACAGAGTGGCAAAAGGGAAGAAAAGAGGAAACCACTAGTTCAGAAGAAAGCATGAGAGTTACAGACCAGATAAGACAGCAAAGTAGAGGAGAAAAACACGGAAGTCATGATCAAGAGATAAGTGGAGCAGTTAAAGAATTGTTGACATGAGTACATAAAGAGGAAAAAAAAAACTGAGGAGTCAGGGGCATGAGAAAATTTTCAGTCAGGTCTTAAAGGAGAGTTGCCAAACTCTCGAAAGCTAGCAAACCTTTAATGTTCTTGGGGATTTAGCCCTGTACTCTTGTGCTTGTGGTACGTGAGTTTATGTCGTAAATACTTTACTTCTTTTAGTCATCTTATTTGCTGGTGTTCAGAGTCTGCAATCCATTTCTTCACTTGTCAGTATCATTTGTAGTGTTTGTGCTATTCAATATCCTATAGCAACATTCTATCAATAGCCTTTGCATCATTTTTGTATTTTGTCGCAATATTTCTGTCATTCAGTGTTTTCTGGGTGTAATATAGTTCCTGGGTTCAGTCTTTTAAGGTGGTATCGTATAATATTTGTTCAGTGGAATAGTAAAACTTAAGTTTCGTCATTTGGCTTGGTCTTTGTTTTAATTGTTTATAATGTTGTGGGTTTAGTTAGAGAGTTTTACTAGTTCTTGACAAAATGCAACTTGAACGTGAGAAAATATCTCGTATATTTTTCAAAAACACAAACTGACCGCTGCAAGAGGTTAAAGTTTTCAAGCATATTCTCTCATTCTCAATGAGTTCATAACATAATAAGACTAATGTCATTTGTTTCTAAGCATGAAGCAATGATGATCAAATCTTTAATAAACATTATCACAATCTTACGCATTCTACGGCACACAATTTTACCCAGTTACAATCTATCCATCAATTCTGTTCTAACAAGGATGAAAAGATTATTATCACTGAATGAAATAATTAAAATTTCAGCCATAATATCAGAAATATGAATAATCAATCACAAAAAGGATATAAGAGTGGAAATTAAAAATAAAAGGAGTCATTAACATCTTACATTATACAAGTCAATAACTGATTCGTCTGGGTTTGGTGAGAAGGCACTATTCACATACACAAACTGCACAGCCATGAAATAAAAATTCAGTATTCATTATTTGTGGAGTATTTGACAATCAATGCGGAAATAGGAATTGTGATTGTTTACCAGTGTCTCCCTGTGGAGTTGCCGGCGAAGAAAGTCGATCACTTTAGCAAATTTATCAGTCCCAGCAATCTGCCATATCAGTAGTATATGAAATTCATACTTTTCAGGAATTCTTTATCATGGTATATGAAAAATGCTTCACAACAAAACTTGCAAGCATTCACACAAATCAATTTCAGATCTTCCAAAATGCAATCATTTAACGAATTCAATGTTGACTAGCCTTTGAAAACATAATCATACACCTCAAAGCTTTCCATTTGGGCAAGGCTTAGGTGTCCCATAAGCCTATGTTTTTCACTGAGGAGAAACTGTTTCATCCTGACTAGTATCAAAGACTTCAAATCCATATAGATAGACTTGGAACCATAGAAATAACACAATGCCTCATTTCATTCCTTTTCTGTTGTCAGGATGAGAATAGGAGCATGAGAAATATTTCAAGCCTCAGGCCACAATAACTCCTCACATGTTTAATAATGTCTACAACTGATCCCAAGTTTCTACCGTTTAGGTCTTTACAGCAGAATTTAGAAATTTACCAGTTCACTTTTGGAGTATCCCTATCCATGTTAGAAGTTCAAGTGACAGCATTCTAACTCCTGGAAAAAATCCTATTTATATAGCTGAAACTAATTATTTCTTCATTATTCCACTCGTTAATGGCTCTCCAGGTCATATGCTCACTGTAATGATTATGGAAAACAGAGCAACTGCAGCTCAGTAATCGGGATACCTTCTTGGCCCCAGGAGCCACTACGTATGTTGATTCCTATTGCAGTTTCTTAAGGTTTTTGTTTGCATTCCTAGCCCAATACTGCACATGTTGCTCCTGGGGGTTTGGGCAAAAAGTCATGGGCCACATAAAAAAGAAACCTTAACTTTGTCACTGAAACTTCATAAATCATCAAACTTTCAAGGATACACACTCCAAAAGTACCACTGACAGCCTCAAAAGCTCAAGTGAATCAAAATTCAGTTCAGTTAGATCCCTGAACCAAACCACATTGTCACTCAGTTAACACCTTTATGCCTAAAAGACTAAACCCAATCAACATTTGAATTAAACTACATTAATTTTTTCACGCGAAACCTTGCTGTGACTGTCCATGATAGGATATAACTGCTTTGGCCTAGACGTATCATAATCCTGGCAGGCAGGCATAAACTGATGAAAACGACAATAAACCACGATCTTTCTTACTCGTCTGGATAACAAATACTGCAGAGTGTTTTCAGATGAGACCCACCATCAAATGTAAAATTTGACAAATATATAATTTCCATAACATAACAGTGTCACTCTTCCAATTATATTATACAATTATCAAGTTATCATTAAATAATAAAAATAATATATATATATATATTTAAAGTATATGCTAAAAGGGGGAACTTTCGGGGTTCAATTACTTATGCGACAGGAATATTAGCAATATTGACTGAAAAATTTAAATTAAAAATACCTACAAAAAGGAGAAGTGGAAATCCAACTCTAGCGATCATAGAAATACCTTAAATTTCGCTTGCTTGAGTATAGGAGCATCACCGGTGGCTCTCAGATGAACAACCACTGCAGAAAGATTGAAACCCATATTCCAAAACCATCTGAATAATCCATAGTGTAACTTAGTTCAGGATTAATAGAATCGGAATTTTATTCATCCGCTGGGACTCACCTTTGCGAACGTCGCCTGGTGAATCGGTAGCCATGGTCTTATGAAATCAAGGACCCGCTCAGTAATCAAAACAGCCCCGATCGGATCTCCCGATCAATTTTACCGACCGACGTTTCACGGCGGGAAAATATATATATATATATATATATCCTCAATATTCTGTTTTTGGTACAATTTGCCACAATATTGAACAAGATACGGCCATCCTGAAAGGTGGGCCAATAAATGAACTAAGATATGAAAAGCCCAGATAACCAAACCGGCTTAACAGTTTTGGGCAGCCATTTTTAAAAAGTAAATATTTTTGGCGCTTTTATAAATATACCTTATATCATCAAACAAAGTAAATAATTGAATATTTATTATATTTTATATTATAACTGATTTATTATATTTTTTAATAATATACTATTATATATTAATGATAATTTTTTTGTAAATTTTTAAATTTTTAATAATAAAACCTTTATATATAAATTTAAATGAGCAACACTTTTATATTTTAAAAATTTGATTCATATTTTTTGGACGCATTATTTTTTTACTAGTAAACCAATTTATCCAATATTTTTTATTTTAAATATTACCTTAATTTCTACCTTCAATATAATGTAATTAATCCCAATATAATTTATTGTCAGGTCTCCGCCAATACTTTAAAAAAAAAATACTTCTTCTCTTGAATCTTCATAGACATATATTATGTAGAAAAGGAAAAACCAGTGTAATATGATTTTTTTACCCAAAAAAATGTCATCACGCAAAAAATTCTCGACAATATAAAAGAGGTATATAAATTTTATTTATGAGAAACAAAAAAATATGATTCTACAAGATATAAAATTTTTATGCTATTATAATTTTATACTTTATTCATTTACTTTTAGTATTTAATTTTATTAAAGTTTGCCCTTAATATACTTTGATAAATATTTTAATTTATTTTTTTATAAAAATATTACTAGTTATTTAGAGTACAAATTATGCCCAAACTGACTAATCATTTTGAGTCCGTGATTGTCCAGAGTTGATTTTAATGATATTATTTTTTAAAAAGTATTACTATTATTTAAAGAAAAATTTATACCTCTACTGATAAGTTTTTTGAGTCCCTCACTGTACGTTGATCTTAATGATATTGCACTATAATGGAAACCAATCAAGAGTGAGAAAGTGCTCAGCTTGTGCTTTCTTATTCATATAACAAAAAGCCAGATGCCAGAACCATTGTTCTGTAATTAAATGAGATATTTCAAAACTCATCAACCAAAATTGCAAATATATCTTGTAACATCGCTGGTCATTAACTAATAATTAAATGCTTAATATAGGTGATTAAAGTCTGATTCGGGGTAGTCCTGAACATTCGAATTTCAGAGGCAAATCGAAAAATCATATGCAATAAGGTCCTTCAAAAATGATGCGTTTAGAAGCATATTTCTTGACCACGGTGTGAGAAAGAGAGATAGTGCACATGGCGCTAATTACAACTAGAGCCAAGAATAAAAACTGAGTCTAAAAGGTTAGGTTTGAAAGTCCTGTTTAAATAAAAACTCAAGTTTTAAAAATTAATTTTTTTTAAAGTAATCAGGTTTGAGGGTCTAATCCTAATATGCTCTATAAAGAAGGACTCGAATTCAGACGGCCCTTCAAGCCCTGATAAATTTGGTTATCTTATATATATACACATTAATACATATATTTGATTAATAATGATGCAATTTAGTTAATGTTTATTATAGGTTATGAAGAAAAAGTTACATAGATAATTGACATTGAATCTTCACTTTCATCTTTAACAAATGAATTTACATATGAGGGATTTAATGTTTTACTTTTAGATAATGATGATGAGGATTTAGATTTATATTCATAAAGATTTTAATTTTCATCTTAAATTTAAAATTTTAAATCTTTTTCAAAATTTTATGGGAAACATTGATTTGTTTCATATTGAATTTTAAAATATTCTATTTAAATTAAAATGTTAAATTTTTTTTTGAGAAATAGGACTTAAGCCCTTTAAATAAGGGTCAAGCCTCAAAATCATATTAAATTTTGAATAACTACACTTTTGAACATAAGCCCTTAAGGGTTGGGCCCACCCTGATTTTCACCTCTAATCATAATAAAGCCTAGGATAGAAAAGAAATCAATATGAAACTATTAGCTAGAGATGTTCATGGCTCGAGGTGGGGCAAGGACAACCCTATCATGTGTCCCGTTTTCAAAAGAAAATGAGATTGAATTCAGCACTCTTGATTAAATTTAACCCATGTCTCATTCTGCCTAATTCAATTTTAGACTTAGTCCCATTTGGTCAATTCCTACAGCCCGTCCTGAGAAGACAGGGATGGAGACTGGGTCTTGACTATATGAACACCATATTACTACATAAAACCATATCGTCTATAACACAAGATCGAAAGTTTTACAAGACAATGCATGGCATAAGTATACAAATATCTGCTCTTAAAAGTTTTCAAAGCCAATGAAATTCATTCTCCATTAAACCTGACATTGAATGAAAATCCTCAAAGCCATGCAAGGAACCATGGGAAACATTCAAGAAGGTACCATCAAGTGTCGGTGCAGGAGACAAATGAGGACAACCACCTTTATCACTTGTGCTGGCATTGCTGTCTTCCTCCACTTTATTCTTCAAACAAGATGGTTCGGATAGATCCATATTCAGAAGAGCCGAAAAGAAGCCATCGTTCATTTCAAAATCGGCCTTGCAATCTAATGGTTTGTCTGTGTTTCCCTCCAAATCAACGTTAACGAAAGACGGTGCCTCCATTTTTTCCTCATGATCACATCTAACGTCGACGCTCATGTCATGAGTCATCATCAAAGAAGGTGCAGCCATTAATTTTTGGACTTGTTTGCTTAGTATTACCTTGGTGCACCTTGTCGCTTTGGTTCGAATCACACGTGAATTACTTGGTGAGACTTTGTTGTCTGAGTCTTGTGCGGCTAAGATTTTGGAGCTACTTGTAGTGGCAGACTTCAATTTTTCTTTTTGAAGTTTCTTTGCGACGTGGGAATTCCAGTAATTCTTTATTTCATTATCGGTTCGACCTGGTAGTCGTCCAGCTATCAAAGACCACCTATTAAGCACACAGCCACACGAGCCATCATCATTTGCTATTTTCATTTCATCAAGTCATTCACAATGATATATTCAAAATTTATAGTGTTGGATTGTTGTGTTGTGTCATATATAAGATAACCAACGAACCTGTTTCCAAGAAGATTGTGAAGCTTGATAATGAGATCTTCTTCATCTGGAGTAATATTTCCCCTTTTGATATCAGGTCTCAAATAATTTAACCATCTCAGCCTACAACTCTTGCCGCATCTATTTAGTCCTGCATCTCCAAAACAAAATGAAATCACATATTACATAAGTATAAAGCATTGAAACTTGCACAGAGACAATTTTACTATGTAATGATTAATAATTGATCATGACCTGCTCTTTTGGGAAGGAGTCTCCATTTTCCTTGGCCATGATTCTTAATGTAGTCGGTAAGAATCTGGTCTTCTATGGCTGTCCACGCTCCTCTGTTCAAACTATCCTTGGGATTGCAAGGATTCCTTCCCATCTCTGTGTGAGAGGACGATCGGGGGGCTAAAGAAGATGCTATATCCTCGCTAGCTTTGGGGTTTGTGACTGCTTGTTCCTCAGCTGGGATTTTATATAGTAACATACATGCTTACCAACACATGCTCGTCGTATATTGGAATAATGAAATTTGTAACCATTGAAGTTTTCCTTAATTATTAATTTAGTCCCTTAATTAAAGTTTCAAAGTCATGTGCAATTAATCCTTATGATGTTATTTCCCCTTCACATTAATTAAAAGGATTAGTTGTGTATGATCTTTAAATTTTAGGGATTTGATAGATAAAAATTAAATTTTAGGGCTAAATAGATAATTGAAACAAATTTAAAGAACAAATTCAATATCCTTGATATATTTTTAATGAACCCTAACTCAGCCATGTACCTGCACTACTGCCAATTGCTAAATTGTCTTTTGACGAACCCATACATTGATTAAATTCGTTTGTCATGTGCACGTGCCTCAAGTGGGACCGGCCATCTGCCTGTTGTTAACGAGAATTTTTGGAAGCTTAGTTATGCTTGAATTAAATAAATGATATGTTCATTATACTCTTGTACAATTCTTCGGAATTCATATAAATATATATGTCAGTTAAGAGTAATATATTTTTGCCTTGGATGTTTGGTAGATTATAAATTGAATAATACAATGGAAATAAAATTTGAACAATAATTATTATATATTTATATTGAATAATTCCTAGACTAATAAACGCTTGTTTTGTAAGTATATATAAATATTTTATTTTATCAATGGTTATATCAATTTCTTTAATGATGAAACAATCTCAACCGTATAACCCTCCATCAGGGTTTAAAAGAAAAAAGAGAGAGATAAACTTCTCTATATATAAAATATCGACGGAGTAATTTATTGAGCTGATTTCATCATAGGGAATGGAATCTATGAAATGCAGTCCCCCTTTTTTTTTGTTTTGATAAAAGAAATGCAATCCCTTTATACCAAAAAATAATTTTCTGGATTATATAGCTATATGATTGAGTCAATTTCAAGTATTATCGGGTTCAATTTAGAGTAACTTTTCTAAAAATGTTTCCTGCATTATTTACAAAGATTCGAATTTAAAACTTCATGCTTAAGTGACTATAGTTCTTTTACTAGAAGCATCATTTGTTGGTAACCAATTCACATCTTATGCCACCCTTGTTTGTATTTTTGGAGACCAACCAATCGATGCTTGACTTGTATTATTCCAATCGCATCAGATCCAATTATCAACCTCAAATTTTATTTGGAACAAATATAGGTTTCATTATCTGGCATATTTATTAGTGAGACAAAGACTTAGTGAGACAAAGACTTATTATAACATATTATAAAATGGTCAAGGCACGCGTGATTCCAGTTAGCAACTTCACCTACCAACAGACAAAGTCGAGAGAAATGGATACATATAAATTAAATGATTAAGGAAGTTTTGGGGCCCCATTTAATAAATAAGAGAAAAAAAGAAATTTGTGTGTACGTGTGGGGATTAATATGATGCTACTGCTTTTAATTACAGTTGTGAAGAAATTCCATTTTCTTAATTTACATAATTTTAATTTCACTCCATTTTCATGTTTTACGCAATTCGTTTTTTTGAAAAAAACTTTGAATATTTGACAATTTGATAGGATAAAATTCTAAGAAGCTTTACTTGTAATGTTTGTTTCTTAACTTCCTCATAAATCATCACAAGTCCTTTTCATTTGATTTGAGAACATGAATCGCATAGTCTTCAAAATATAATTGAATTATCATTATTCACAAAAGTTAATGTAGATAATATATATTCAGAAAAGATAAAACTATGGTATATAGAAAGTTTATAGAAAACTGGAATAAAATTAAAACATCACACGTATTGAGTGGAAACTAACAATTGATTGAAAATAAATTAGGCAGGTCTCCAGTATATCAAAATTTCCGAACAAGATGGGGAGATATATATATATATATATATACTCCCTTCATTTAAAAATATAAGGTATTTTTTAAAGAGTTATGTGTTCAAAAATGTAAAATATTTTTAATCTTTCGAGGTGTAATCATTATCTTTTTTTAAAAGTGTTCCTATTGATGAATAACTTTATATGTATTATAGGATGTTTAATAGAGGTAAATATGAAAAGAAAGAGTTAGTTTAAAAGTGAGTAACTATTTTATTGAGAGGTGAGATTCAGTTAAAAATGCCTTACATTTTTTAACGGAGGGATTATATATTATCAATATCTCCCCATATATAAAACAACATTTCTATGCATGGAGTGGTTGTATTTATAAATTACTTATGAATAATACCAATACTTATTTCTTAGAACCTTGCAAGTGTATTTAAAAAACTTAGATAGCATTTTGGTTGATGTATTTGGATTTAAATTTTTTATTTTAAATCTTGCATTTTAAATCTCACATTTAAAATCTATGTATTCATAATTCTTTATTTGGGTAGTTTAAAAAAATTTTAAAAGAATAAAATAGATGAGTTGAGATTCAAAATGAAAATAAAAAATTAAAAATAGTAAATTTATCTTTATTTTTTAGAAAGATGAGAATGAGATATGAGAAAAGATATGAAAGTCGTTATAAAGATATCAATAATAAAAAGATAAAGAGAATGAGATATTTGAAGTGACTAAAATTTTAAACGACTTGAGTGTAAAAAAAAATTAAAATTACAAAAAAATTATAATAAGAAATGATTTAAATCCAAATTTATAATTTGTTGTACATTCAAAGGAGAGATCCTCATCAATCTAAACGTACTATTATTGTGTAACCAACCTTATTTTAATAAATGTACTCTACGCTGATTTTTTATGTTGAATTGACCATCTCAAATAAAAATTATGAATTAAGAATTTAAAAGTATTTGACCAATTTCATGTATGGACTAATAATTTCATCTCTCCCTATTTTAAATTATAAGATATTTTTAAATAAAATCTCACGTACAAATAAACTTATTAAATACATTTAACAATCTTATTTTTTTAAAATAAAAATTTAAATTTTTTAAAAATATTTTTTATTTAATATATTAAAAAAAGAGAAGGACTAAAATTAAATAAAAAAGAATAATATTAAAAGAAAATTTATTTAATAATATTTTAATATTTTTAAAATATTTTATATTTTAAGATATTGAATTCCTTCTAAAAATATTTCATGATTTAAAGTGGAGAATAGTTCAAGAGGCTTTGGCTGGGAAAAAAGTTCAAGAGGTAGTACTGCACTTTAGCTAGGAAAATAGTACAAGAGGCTTTTGCTTGCCTTAATAATTAGCAACCACGTACCTATGAAACAAAGTCAAAAGTAACACATGCGCGTACAAGAAAGAATGATTAAGAGGCTTTATAATTAATAAGATACTCTTTTCCCTTATATTTGGATTATAAAACTCACAATTAATAAAATTCTTAATTTTGCCTTCACTTTATCCAATATATATTTACTTTGATAATTTGTCGTCTTCTTTTCTCGTCATCCGGTTCCCTTAAAAATGTTCGGGTCCTTGGCTCAAATCTGTCTTCCATCTCGAAACCCAGGTCTAAATGACTCAAAATGATCCAATCCTTCAATAGTCCAAAGCTGCTAAACGAGTTGATATAGTGTTCGAGACTCGAGTAAATGGTCCGACCATCCGATCCCACTATGGGTTTCAAATCACTACCCACATTAGTATCTTTGGATCAACATATTGATATCACACTACCGCTCTTTCAATGCATCAAATTCAAAAATGAAAGTCAAACTTTATCATAAACAAATCTGAATCATATCTCTCGTATTTAGTACTGTGACAAAGACTGATTATAAAGTGATGACAAAGATTGGTTATGACATCTTAAAACGATCAAAGTTCAAGGCACGCGAGACCCCAGCTAGCTGCTTCACCAACCAGCAAACATATATACGAATGATTAAGAAGGTTTTTGGAATCTAATTAACCTCAGAGGTCAATTGTTCCGAATAAATGAAAACTGAGTATATATATCTTTACGGGGGAAAAAAAGGGGTTTGGTCTATTTGTGTACATGTTTATATATGCTACTACTTTTCAATTACAACTATGAAATTGAACTTTTCTTGGTTTGCATAATTTTGTTTGCATCATATTTTAACTATATATTTCTTTCACAACTTCCAACCGAATTAATTATATCATAGATTACCAAAACAAATTACATCATACATAAGAATAAAAAATTGGAGTTGATTTTTTGACACGCAGACGAACATAAGGTGTGCGGGTTTAGGCTGGTGCAAATTTCCTTTCACAATTTGATAGGATCAATTTGTAAGGAACCTTTTTGTAATTTTTTTTTCTTTCTTAATGACTTTTTCATATTAATGTATAGAATTAATATACTGGAAAGTGATAAAAATAGTGAATATAAAAATTAAATAAGAACGTCACAGACATTCTATGAAGTATTAACGTGATTGAGTTAAACAGATTTTCTGCATAACTTAGGGATGTGTATAGTATAATCAATATGTCATCAGAGTATATTAAGTTTAATAATTAGCTAGTTTTGGGGAGAACTTATGCTAACTCTTCTCCGTTAATTAATCAATCACCTGAAATTTAAATGTTTGACGAGTTTAGCAACATAGACTAATAATGCCATATGTCAAATAATCTTCGCACGTGAAACAAACTGACGTGTATACTTTACCAACCACCTAGCAAATAAAGTAAAGCGAAACACATGCAAGAAAAAGAAATATTCAAGGGACTCTTGCATATGTAATTAGATGCCATTTTCCCTTTATATCTGAAGAAGAAATTAAAACTCGCAAATATGTCATTACTTGTAACTTATAAATAATCTAAAATTTAATTTATAAGATGCACATATTTATAAATCATTATAAATAACACTACAATGCACACATCAAATTTCTTAAGAATAGATTCACAATCTACCGTTATCACTGAGAAATTACATATTTTCTTAGGCAAATGTATGTGTATTATTAAATTCAAATTAATTGTGGTTTGTTACTAGTTGAGGAGCCAAGATTTGAAGTCAAGAGAAAATTCATTTAAATATTAATAATTGAAAATAAATAAATAAATAATTAATTAAAATTATATCTTTTATAAATTTTCTCTACAAGCATGGTTTCATATATATATATATATATATATGCTTTAGCATTGTTGAACAATAATCTTATTGTCAATACTATCAAATGGGTCTTTGTCACTTTAAGTTAGAAGACAATCATATTCATCCATTGATTTTCCATTATAGCTGATTTTTCACAAACTTCACGGCCAAAAAGGTTCTTTCTCAAATTTTCACAAGGTTTGAATAAAGATTGTTGTTCATTTGATGCTGAAGGTCTGGTTTAGTCAATGACACTAATATTACTTTAATTCCTAAAGTCAAGAAACTTGATCATGTGTCCCAATTCATGCCTATTGGCTTATGCAGCTTTTCATATAAAATAATCTCCGAAATTTTGGTCAACAGAATGAGACCACTTCTTGATATCTGTATTTCTCATAACCAAGGGGCTTTTATACCTAGAAGATGTATTCTTGATAATATTATAATTACCTATGAGGTTTATCGTTATTTGAGAAGGACGAAAAGGGGGAATATAAGTATGTGTTTGCCTTGAAAATGGATATGAGTAAAGCCAATGAGATTTTCTTAAACCGGTGCCATTAAAGTTTGGTTTTTATGCTGACTGGGTTAAGCTTATAATGAGATGTGTGACTTCTATTGGCTTGAATGGTTGTGTTTCTAGTGAAAATATTGCATCATTTATTACTAGAACAGGGCTTTGACAGGGAGATCCTCTATCTCCCTACTTGCTTATTCCTGTGGCTGAAGTGCTTTCTAGTTTGATTGAGAATGGTTTAATGCGGCGTGAACTTAGATGCATAAAACTGAGTTTGAGATGTCCTGAACTCACTCTCTCTGTTTTTTTCCTTTTGGCTATCAATGCTCTCTTTTTTATGAACGCTAATGTCAAAAACTGCAAGAAAATGCTAGAGATTTTGAAGATATATTATTTTGCATCAAGCCAAGTAGCCAACTTGGATAAGTTGAGTACGTATTTTATTTTCCCACAATACCCCAGTATATATCCTGAACAGAACGTGCTAGATTTTGAACATTCCTGAAGTGGATGATCCTACAAAGTACTTATGAATTCCTAGCATTTAGGGCAAGACCAAACACCAAGCCTTGGCCTATGTCCACGAATGGGTCAAAAGGAAAGTTCAAAGATGGAGAACTGTTTCCTTATCAAGACATGTAAAGAGCTCAATAGTGTTTTTTCTAAATTTGGGTGGGAAAGGGTGGATATTAGTGGCAAAACTCATTGGAGAGCTTGGGATGAACTTACACGACCTAAAGCTAGTGGTGGGATGGTCTTCAAGGATTTTGTTTTAATGAATTATTCTCTGTTGGCTAAAAAAGTGTGGAGGGTTATTCATCATCCAAGTGGCCTTTGGCTAAGAGTATTGAAGAGAATTTATCTTCCAACAAAGGAATTTGTGGATGCCAATAAGGGCTCTAAAGCCTCTTGGTGTTGGCTAAGTATCATTGATGGACGAGACTTCCTAAAGAAGAATCTTTTGTGGGACATTAGCAATGGTGAATCTCTTCAAATTTGGGATGACCAGTGGGTACCTAATGCAAAATTCATGAAAAATCCTAATGCTATGTTTGGATACACATGAAGTTGGATTTGGATTTAGATTTGAGCCAAATCCATTATTTGAATAGACCCAAATCTAAATCTAAATTCTCCCTTAATCTTTTTAAAATTTGAAATCCTTTCTAAACTCCTATTATTTCAAATTCTAACTCAAACTCTTTTGTAATTTGACCCAAATGCACGAAGGCTTGATCGACCTGCCAACGGTAATTGGACCGAACCTCCAAAGTTGATGGAAACAAGCTACCACTGTTGACCAGGATAGGACGATAGACATCCATCAAGACCGGACCAACGATGACAATGGGGATAGGATGGCTGACTTCCAACAGGACAAGACCAATGGCAACGATAGGGATGGCACGACCGACTTCCAAAAGGATTGAACCGACAATGATTAAACAGCCAACTTCTAACGGGACTAAATCGATAGCGATGATAGGAACTAGATGGTTGACTTCCACCAGGATTGAATCGACGACGATGACCGAAATGCTGACTTCCAACTGCACCAAACCAACGACGATGACATGGATTGAATGGTTGACTTCCACCGGGACTACACTAACGTCAACAATTGGAACGTCGACTTCTAATTAGGCCGAATCAAGAGCGATGATGGAGACTGGATGGCTGACTTCGACCAAGGCCGAACTAATGGTGACAACAGGCACCAGACGATAAACTGCCACCAGGATTGAACCAACGACAAAGATGGGAATCAGATGGTTGACTTCTACCGAGACCAAACCTACAGCTATGACAAGGACTAAAGGTCTAATTTCCACTGAGTGAGAATCGAACGATTGCCTTTCGTCGCCATCCCTTCATTCTAGTCGCCCTCGCTGTCACCATCGATCTAGTTCTGGTAGAAGTCTGTCATTTGATCCCCATCTTCGATATCGGTCTGATTCAAGTAGAACTTAGACATCCGGTCCAAGTCATCACCATCGGTTTGGTCCCGATGAAAGTTGGTCATCTAATCCCCCTCATCACCTTCGGTCCAATCTGGTTGAAAGTCAGTTGGTCCCTCTCATTACCATCGATTCGGTCCTGACAAAAGTTAATTTTTGATCTCTGTTATTATCGTCGATCCGGTCCCAGTGAAAGTCAGGCATCTGATCCTTGTTGTTGCCGTCGATTCGATCCTGATGGAATTCAACTGTCCGATCCCAGACGTCACAAGTGCCATAGTCCTAGTCGGCTTTGTTTGTTTAATCCTATTAAAAGTTGGCCATTCAAATCTTCGAGTTTGACTAATCTTTCAAGTTTATGTTAAATTAAACTATAGAATTTAAAATTTAAAATTTTACTTTAGATCAAAACAAGGGATTTAATATTGTAATTTGAAATTTTTTATATCATCCAAACAAATAATTTAGAATCTATGAATTTCAAATGTGAGATTTCAAATATGAGATTTTAAATTCAAATTCCCAACTTGAATCACCCATCCAAACATAACCTAAGGATAATGCTAATTATATCATTAATTATAGGTGTATTTCAAACTTGATTTAAAATGGGAGTTGGGATTTGTTTGCACTTCAAGGATTGGTCAGTAATATGCTTATCATGGCCATTCTTAAAATTCCAATCCCTAGAGTTCTTCTAGAAGACAAATTGATTGGGACTGTAGCTCCTAATGGCCAATACACTATGAAACTCTATTATATTGAGGCAACGAAGAGGTGAATTGGTATTATCAATAAAGCCAATTCATCTACATTAATATATGGAAGCAAGTTTGGAAGATTAAAATAGTCCCTTGCATTCAACACTTTATGTGGCGTATACTTAACAAGTCAATAGGTGCCAATGATGTTTTGTATAAGCAGAAGAGATAGAAAATGCAGTTATGTCCTGTCTGCAAAGTTAAAGTAGTAAAAACTATTGAGCATCTTTTCTTTCTTTGTCCTTAGGTGAGGTGTGTATGGTTTGGATGTAGTTTGGGAATGAAATTCAATTGTCATAATGTCACTTGCTTTGAACTGTGGTGGCCTCATCTTTAGCAATTGCAAAGCAACTTCTTAAACTATGAAATTGCTTTTATTTGATATATCCTCAAGCTATTTGGAAGCATCATAATGAGATTTGCTTCAATCATATCACACCACCCTTGCTTAGTCATAACTAAGACTATGATGTTACATAATGAAGTTTGGCACGTGCTGAATTTAACTTCTCAAAATTTAACCCCATGGTTAAATTAATTAATTAATTAATTAATTAATTGAGAAGTTTGATTATTTAATTGGAGTAATTAAGAGTTGATATTAGGTTTTATGTAACAGCACGACCTCACCACTACCTCCCGAGGGTCTTTTGACAGTGCTGGGACCCCTCCCCTCATGGGGCCTGAATCCAGCATTCAGCACTGGTGGTATAGTGCCTATTCCTCACCCCACCCTCACGGGGGTCTTTTGAAACCTCCCCAGACTCGAACCTCCAACCTCTACCACCTTAACGAAGTTGAGGCGAAATCTGGTACCATTAAGTCACTTTAACTCAATGGTACCAGGTTCAACCTCAACTTTGCTATGTAGGAAAGGTTGGAGGATCGAACCTGGGAAGGCTCCCTTAGCGCAGTAGGTACGGGAAATAACCCCTAAACTACCAAGGGGAAAGCCGGCTGGGTAGCTGTGAGGTGGCACGGCCCAGTCCACCACTCGCAGCAGTGGGCTCAGGGGGGTGTGACTGTTACATTTTCTATGGCCATTTGGGCCTATTGGATCCTTTAAAGGGTTTAAAATAGAGCTTGGGATGCTATTAGGACACCTTGGGCCCATATTTTGGCCTTAAGTAATACTATCTATTTTAGGTCATTCGTCATGACGGATGGTGCAATTTGCGATGACAAACACTGAAATTCTAAAACCTAATTTTGCTGTTCAAACAATCAAATTTTGGGTGAGATTGAGAGAGAGTCTAAGAGAGTTATGCTTGAGGTTTGCTAAAGTTTGCTAAAAGGGAGTTTGTGGGGGTGTTTTGAGGCATTTAAGACCTTAGGTAAGCCTCTAAATCTAATATCCTCTTTTCTTCTTGAAATTTCTACACATTTTGGGGTAGCTTTAGCTTGTGTGTGAAATTATATGTAACTAGTCTTATGACTTTAATAGAGTCTATGGATGTTATTTAATATTTCTACACTTAAGTTTTTATGGTTGACAACTTTAAATGCCATTAGTGAGGAGTTTAGAGTTAACCTTGATCTAAAATGATTAAGTTTAAACTAATGAAGGTAGATAATAGTGGCTATTAAGCTTAATGGGAGCTAAATAAAATAATGGAAGATAATCTTGGAGTTACTTGGGCTTAATCATGCTTAATGATATGTTTAGGCCTTAATCATGATTAAGGGTCAATTGATAATGGTTACTCATTAATACTATTTTATGGCATTATTTGTAGAGCATAGTGCACTAAAGCTCACATCAATAGGAACCTCCTTCAGTAATCAAAAGTTACACTCTTAGGATGGTAAACTTAAGAGTTCAGGTAACCAACGATTTAATTATTGCATATTATTTTTGTCTACAGCTATGATTATATACCATGTAATCAGCAACTTAAAATGAGTAGCATGCATGAACTTGCAATGGTTTATCTGAACTTTGATCCTTGTTAAATGATAAGCATGCCTGTAGCAACAAAGTACTAGATGGCTATGTTTAAGTAAATGTTAAGTGATAATGAGACATAAATTGTGGGCTCGGATTGGCAACTGATTGATGTTATTATATGAGGAAATATATATCTGATTAGGTATATATGTTGTAATGTGAATATGACGTTAGTATATGACTTATAGTTGTATGAATGATGATAACATTCAAGTTTTATTGGTGATGAGACTATTAATTTACTAGATATGCATGAGATAAATTGCATATGATAAGTTGACTTGCTTGAGCATGATGGGTGGGAGTTCACCTTAGAGTAATAGAAGGACATATTAGTAAAATCCATATTGTATGACCTCCACTGAATTTGAGCACAATGATTAGACTATTTTATTATTATATGTGCTTAGTATTGCTAACAATTTGTGGGTGTGTCATGGGTTGAATATGATGCTTAATATCATTAATTCTGGACTAAACGATGTGGGTTGAACACTTATGACACCTTAAAATTTGAGTAAGGGGAATCTAGTCTAAGTGAGTGTGGAAATTTTTGACTGGGCAACCCCTCACAATTGAAGAGCGAAATTAATCCAGTCATATAGACTAGATCTATATGAGTTAGTAGCCCATGGGTTCAGTCAAATTAGATAAGAAAGAATATAAGGTTGTTGTATCGATCATAAAGCATTATTACTTGAACATATGTGTTTTTGCTATAAATTGATTTCATGTTATGAAATGCCTATGATTTTGATTACCACACTTTAATATGCTTTAAATAGATTTCTTGATTGCTGAGATTATTTAATCTCACTCCTGTTATTTAATGCTTTCTAGGAGACGACAAAGGGAAGAGCAAAGGGGAAGCCTCCAAGGCCAAGCACCATAATATATCATTGAAATCTCTAGTAGCTTTATATGTGTAATAAAACATACTTATATTTGCCAACATAAGATTATTGTACATGGTTAACTATAGATCATTTTCATGTAACCCCTATTTGTTGACTTGTGCATCTTTGGTGGTTGACCTTATGTTTTTGGTGGGATAGTCAATCGTGTAAATATGTGAATATTATGATTAAGTTGTTAGCCTAGTTTGGAACACCATACGTATTGATTGACTTGAGTAGTATGCATACCTGATTGTGCAAGTGATATGCTTTGTATGTGGGTAGAAAGGGGAGACATCTATTCATGTACGTGGCGCATGGTTACTTACTTTAGCACCAAGTGTTTCAGGATGCTTGGTTGGTACTTGAATGGGTTGTATTTGGTGCCACTGTGCATATTATCAAATTAGCTTCATGTAAGTAGTTGAATTACTTAAACGGAAGGATCGGGTAATTAATTAGGTGTCTTGGAAGTTTAAAAGTTTACTTGCTGTAATTGTGTTACTTTTGCTCATGCACTGCAATGGATGTGACAATTGGCCACAAAAGATAGTGGATAGTTTAATTAGCTGCATCAGGTTGGAAATTTAGGGTTAGCGGTGAACTTGAGTTAATCGTGACAGAAACGCTTTAGGCTGCGACAAATGTGTACAGAAGCGCTATATGTATGTTTTGTCCCCGTTTCTGTCTACTTCCAATGCTGATCATTATATTTCCATGTTTTCTCATATTATTTCACTCTGATTCTTAATTATAATGTTCATTGATTATCTTAAAAGATTTTGGGATTCCAACCTTAATGTCAAGTTTGTGAAAGATTTTTATGGTAGCCATAGTTAAATCTTGGTAATTGAGGGTCATTGGGTT